TCTCATACGAGAATGTGACCCCTAAACAAACCCAAGTTATTTTGTTTTCTGGGTTTATATGAAGTAGAGACGAGAAAAGCAAGTCTATTTAGCTTGACGTACAGTATTCGGCCTAATTCTGCCGCCTCTCGTACCACGGTCATATATTTCAATACCGTATTGTACTATTGACTGAACGTTGAGCCAGGCTGTTCAAACATGATGATAAAAGCGAACGCTTCGGGGCTTTATCAGAGCAGAGCGAGAAACCCACGTAATGCTCCTTGTCTAGTGCATCTATTAAGCTACTGCACTCCTACTATTGTCCCGATCAGCCAACATTATACGTATTTTGGCCTCTAAAACGTTGTTACTTCAATGAAAAGCTTTCCTCCAATGGTACACTGTACAGCCGACTCATTATTTGTGAAATATAACAATTGAGATGCTGAATGTTATTTTTCACAATTCCGACTGTGAAACCCTGAGCCACATTATTACAGTAGTACTCTTTAGACTGTGTTGTAAGACTATCGGAAACAATATAATCACCATAATATTCACAGCCCAAAAGAAACAATCCGTGCAAATCATACAAGTCTTATAACATTTATATCTCGCTTATCGTAAGCCCTCACGCTTGCGATTTCATTTTCTTATCTGATGCAGAACTATTTTTTATGTATCATGTGTAATGATAGATTATTCCAGCCGTATACGCCAATAACAACTGCACTATAATAACTACTTTTACCATACCCTGCTCCAGAGATCGATATATCCGCAGATGCTGGCGTGTCGCCATTAACAATGGAAGTTAATGAGCATCAATCAGCTTTATAAAGCAGACACAGGAGATGATGTGTCACAGTGTATACATGTACCAGACCAGTAGATGGTGATCATAGTTTTGTTGACATTTAATTTATAAATGCTAGTTCGTCACGAATTAGCAATGTTTTCATCCTAATTTGTTGCGCTATCCTCGCATTTGCGGATCCCTATTGCACAAACCGCAATCGAGGCTTCAAAATGATCCAACTACGTAAGCATGGACGTGCCAAATATCTAATGGGAGCTTTTGAAGTTAACGACTTGACACGGATCCACCTGATTGAGATCGTAAGTTGGAATATATTGGCGAGACGCCTGCATGCATAGTACGTTGAGAGCCATATTTGAGGCTCAAGTCAAGGAAAAGGCCGCTAAAGATCAAACAATGACACGTCTGATACTTGCGGAGTGCGCATTGAGAATTCCAGAAAGTGTCGAAGAAAAACAAAGTAGGTCAAAATTTATGGCTCACCCAATTTTCGGCGCCACGATCGCCATCGTAGTGACGGAGGATAAGGATGAGCACTAGAGAGCATAGCCGCAAGATATGGTGGTTGTGCTGCCGTGCAAGTTTACACATGGCATAGCCAAGATCATCATCCACGGTGAGACCATCATCGCCGGAGACATTTGTGTCTGTTTGAAACAGTGGAACTTGCAGCGGGTCTTTGACTTAATTGATGAAGAGTGGTGAAGCGATTTCCAAGTTGCTCGGCGAGATGTCTTTTCTGTGACGTTAGATCAGCCGAATGAATGATACATGAGCCGTGAAAGCTCATACATCTCCTTCATGCTCTTGGCATGGTGACCCTCGTAGTGACGTTAATACTTCGGCAGTTGCGCATGGTCACGTGCTTGGAAAACTTGTCATGGACATGTTCTTCGAGAATTCGTGTCAGGTATCGCTCTGGGTGACCGTCAGTAGCAATGAAAAAAAACTCCTTTCTTTAAAAAGCCGGAATCCTTGGTCCGTGTGTACTGCACCTTCAGCAGCTCCTGGTGAAGCAACTTGAAGTTGTCGACCTCCTTCAAGAAGTGCTGTGGGATGAACACAATCGTGGAACCGTACAAATGGGTAGTCTTGTGCTCCGGAATAAACCACCTGTACAAACCCCAGAATCTTTCAAGGTGTTTGAGATATCCATTCCGGGGAGAAGCTGGAGACGTTGCGGAGGTGCTGCAATCAACAGTAGAGCAAGGATGCATTGTGTGCAGCGACGAACGTTTCCATCTCGAATCGACCCCGTCGATAAAAGTGGGATATCCGATGTTTGAAAGCACTTTTCAAATGACCACTTAGCCACTCCACAAATGCCTCGACATCTGGTAGCTCTGCAACCCATTACGCTTTCCTTTCCGTTTTTCTATCCCGAGATATATCCTTCGACGTCAAAATCGCGGTGGTGTGATCAAGCTTGAGAAGCCCTTCCAGCTTGTGAGCGCCTTATTCTCCACGTAGAATTCCAGCAAAAGGCTTAGAGGCTGAAGCTGTTTGTAGCGATTGGTAGCAGCTACTGTGTCACCACCCTTGCGCTTGTCCACAAACTGCATAAATACGCTTAGTTTTCCCCGACCCCCAATCCTGACCACAGTGTCCGAGGATCATCAGCTTCAGCTCGTACAAGGATCCAAACTACCACGTACGGGCGATTTCCTGACCAAATTTCCTTTCATGGAAGGAAACCTGGCGGTCTTTTATGAACTTTGCTCGAGCAAGATAGCTTCAAGTCGAACAGCAAAGCTACGAATTACGTGCTCGTTGGGAAACTTTCCCAAGCTGCAATTGTAGTTTTTATGGCTCGAAGACGTTTTTCAGCAGCCGTAAGGCCTTTTTGGGGTAGTAATTTACCTTGAATTCGAGACTTTAAAGGTTCTATTACCCCTACATCAAGCGGTTGACAAACCGATGTAGCTTTAGCGGGTAATGGGACCATTGTAGCGCATGCCTGTTCGGCTACTACACGCATACCCTCCTCTGAAACGTGACAATAAAAATTGTCCGCGAAGAGGAGGGCAGGGGAGTCAATTTCATATTTTAAATATTTTGCACATAAACCTCCCAGCCGACTGTATCCATCCAGCCAAACTCTTGTACTGTGTAAAAGTGACCACTTGGCGGGCTTAACTCGTTGGAATCAATAAGTCCGCCGCGTTTGCCGCGCAGTATGAAGAGAACCGGAAGTTTTTTTTCCAAAAACAAACATTTTTAGTAAACAAAAGTAAACATATATATATTTAACTTATAATTAGTGCAAGGAAAAAATATATATATAACAACTTACCATCAGCGCGAACTGTCAAGACAGCCGTCATGCGTCCGCAGTGTTTTGTCAGGTTTTGGATTTTAGCTGATCCTTTTCGCCCTTTAATTGTCCAGGTTCTTGCTGGCGGCATGTCGAACTGGATGGCCGTTTCATCCATGTTGTACATTTCCGGTAGAGAGTATGAACCGTACACTCCAAAATTCAATTGCAAAATCCGTTTTTAAGCACTGCAGATCCACACTTGGGAGCTTGGTTTCTTGGACTTTTTGAGTTGAGAATCCGTAACTTAAATCAGGTTCAATTTATTTATTTATTAATAACTCAGTTAATAATGCAATAATATTGTACAGATAATACCGGTCGGCGGTTCGCTGCAGTAGACGTTCAAGGGCCCGTCTGCAACTCTCGTCAGACTTCTTGTTCTCCGCGTAGGCCTCTATCCAGTCAGGGTAGCTCTCTTGAATAAAAGCAATTATTCCTGATGTAGTAAGAAACTACAAGAGTTAAACAGTAAGAGTAAGTAATAATAAAATACTATAAAATTTAATAACTCACTTTTTCGTCGCGGTGTACGTCTTTCGTGTACGTCAAAAGGGCAGAGGTAAATGGAAAGCTTTCCTTACGTCCCTGCCCTTTGGTCGTCTTGTCCAACTTATTCCCCTCGTAGACGCGCAGCTTGGTCCTACCGACCCACCACCCATGCACCGTGCCGTGCGGGTGGCCCAGCTTTCAACGGCGGCAGTGAGTCCAATCCTCTCAATGAGGTCGACTGCCGCCAGCTTCTCTTTAATTGGGTAGCCGCGCTGCTTCTTCGTCCCGATCGTAGGTTTAGAAAGTGATCGTGCAGCGCGGCTTCACCCTCGAATTCCCAAGCGAATTTTAGCTCGATTTATTGGATGGTCATCATAACTTAACTACTTTTGGATTGGTCAATATTTACTGTGGGGCGCTTTCATTTTTCCGTGTTTTGTGTACGCCGGCTTTTTGTGTCGTTGTCGGTAGTGGGTGGTACCCCTCTTCCGCGTCAAACTGAGATAGACACCATTTCGACCCCCTCACCAGAGGTATTGGCTTGGTGGTGACAGCGGCTTTGGCTGCAATAGCCTCAGTACATTTTATTACCGATGACGAGCTAAGTTGGACTTTGTCACCACCACGGAGGTGCAAGAGCTGTGGCTTGAAGGCGATTCGGCGATCTGAAAAATGAGCAAACAAATATATGTCTTCAGAACTATATTGGATGCACAAAAATCAATCATACGAGAATGTGACCCCTAAACAAACCCAAGTTATTTTGTTTTCTGGGTTTATATGAAGTAGAGACGAGAAAAGCAAGTCTATTTAGCTTGACGTACAGTATTCGGCCTAATTCTGCCGCCTCTCGTACCACGGTCATATATTTCAATACCGTATTGTACTATTGACTGAACGTTGAGCCAGGCTGTTTAAACATGCCGCTGATAAAAGCGATACTCTTCGGGGTTTTATCAGAGCAGAGCGAGAAACCCACGTAATGCTCCTTGTCTAGTGCATCTATTAAGCTACTGCACTCCTACTATTGTCCCGGCCATCCAACATTATACGTATTTTGGCCTCTAAAACGTTGTTACTTCAATGAAAAGCTTTCCTCCAATGGTACACTGTACATCCGACTCATTATTTGTGAAATATAACAATTGAGATGCTGAATGTTATTTTTCACAATTCCGACTGTGAAACCCTGAGCCACATTATTACAGTAGTACTCTCTAGACTGTGTTGTAAGACTATCGGAAACAATATAATCACCATAATATTCACAGCCCAAAAGAAAAAAAATCCATGCAAATCATACAAGTCTTATAACATTTTTATCTCGCTTATCGTAAGCCCTCACGCTTGCGATTTCATTTTCTTATCTGATGCAGAACTATTTTTTATGTATCATGTGTAATGATAGATTATTCCAGCCGTATACGCTAATAACAACTGTACTATAATAACTACTTTTACCATACCCTGCTCCAGAGATCGATATATCCGCAGATGCTGGCGTGTCGCCATTAGCAATGGAAGTTAATACGCATTAATCAGCTGTATGAAGCAGACACAGGATATGATGTGTCACAGTGTATACATGTACCAGACCAGTAGATGGTGATCATAGTTTTGTTACCCTTTAATTTATAGATGCTAGTTCGTCACGAATTTGCGATGCTTTCTTCTTAATTTTGTTGCGCTATCCCCGCATTTGCGGAGCCCTATTGCACAAACCGCAATCGAGCGTTCAAAATGACCCAACTACGTAAGAATAGACGTGTCAAGTTTCTAATGGGTGCTTTCGAAGCTAACGACTTGACATGGATCCACCTGATTGAGATCGTAAACTGGAATATTTTGGCGAGACGCCTGCATGCAAAGTACGTTGAGAGCCATATTTGAGGCGCAAGTGGTAGCTCAAGGCAAGGAAAAGGCCGCTAAAGATCGAACAATGTCACGTCTGATATTTGCGGAGTGCGCATTGAGAATTCCAGAAAGTGTCGACAAAAACAAAGTAGGTCAAAATTTATGGCTCACCCAATTTTCGGCGTCACGATCGCCATCGTAGTGACGGAGGATAAGGATGAGCACTAGAGAGCATAGCCGCAAGATATGGTGGTTGTGCTGCCGTGCAAGTTTACACATGGCATAGCCAAGATCATCATCCACGGTGAGACCAGCATCGCCGGAGACATTTGTGCCTGTTTGAAACAGTGGAACTTGCAGCGGGTTCTTTTGACTTGATTGATGAAGAGTGGTGAAGCGATTTCCAAGTTGCTCGGCGAGATGTCTTTTCTGTGACGTTAGATCAGCCGAATGAATGATACATGAGCCGTGAAAGCTCATACATCTCCTTCATGCTCTTGGCATGGTGACCCTCGTAGTGACGTTAATACTTCGGCAGTTGCGCATGGTCACGTGCTTGGAAAAATTGTCATGGACATGTTCTTCGAGAATTCGTGTCAGGTATCGCTCTGGGTGACCGTCAGTAGCAATGAAAAAAAACTCCTTTCTTTAAAAAGCCGGAATCCTTGGTCCGTGTGTTGTGCCGACCGTCAGTAGCATTGGAAATGCATCTTCTTTCTTTAAAACGCCGGAATCCTTGGTCCGTGTGTACTACACCTTCAGCAACTCCTAGCGAAGCAACTTGAAATTGTCGACCTCCTTCAAGAAGTGCTTTGGGATGAACATAATTGCGGAGCCGTAGAGATGGGGAGTCCTGTGCTCCGGAAACAAACAGCTGTACGAACCCCAGAATCTTTCAGAGCGTTTGAGATATTCATTCCGAGAAAAAGCTGTAGACGTTGCGGAGGTGCAGTAGAGCAAGAATGTATTGCGTGCAGCGACGAACGTTTCCATCTCGAATCGACCCCGTCGATAAAAATGGGATACCAGACGTTTGAAAGCACTTTTCAAATGACCGCTTAGCCACCTCACAAATGCCTTGACATCTGGTAGCCCTGGAACCGTTACGCTTTCCTTTCCGTTTTTCTATCCCGAGATTATCCTTCGACGTCAAAATCGCAGTGGTGCGACCAAGCTTGAGAAGCCCTTCCAGCTTGTGAACGTCTTGTTCTCCACGTAGAATACCAGCAAAAGACTCAGAGGCTGAAGCTGTTTGTAGCGATTGGTAGCAGCTACTGTGTCACCACCCTTGCGCTTGTCCACAAACTGCATAAATACGCTTAGTTTTCCCCGACCCCCAATCCTGACCACAGTGTCCGAGGATCATCAGCTTCAGCTCGTACAAGGATCCAAACTACCACGTACGGGCGATTTCCTGACCAAATTTCCTTTCATGGAAGGAAACCTGGCGGTCTTTTATGAACTTTGCTCGAGCAAAATAGCTTCAAGTCGAACAGCAAAGCTACGAATTACGTGCTCGTTGGGAAAACTTTCCCAAGCTGCAATTGTAGCTTTTATGGCTCGAAGACGTTTTTCAGCAGCCGTAAGGCCTTTTTGGGGTAGTAATTTACCTTGAATTCGAGACTTTAGAGGTTCTATTACCCCTACATCAAGCGGTTGACAAACCGATGTAGCTTTAGCGGGTAATGGGACCATTGTAGCGCATGCCTGTTCGGCTACTACACGCATACCCTCCTCTGAAACGTGACAATAAAAATTGTCCGCGAAGAGGAGGGCAGGGGAGTCAATTTCATATTTTAAATATTTTCCACATAAACCTCCCAGCCGACTGTATCCATCCAGCCAAACTCTTGTACTGTGTAAAAGTGACCACTTGGCGGGCTTAACTCGTTGGAATCAATAAGTCCGCCACGTTTGCCGCGCAGTATGAAGAGAACCGGAAGTTTTTTTTCCAAAAACAAACATTTTTAGTAAACAAAAGTAAACATATATATATTTAACTTATAATTAGTGCAAGGAAAAAATATATATATAACAACTTACCATCA